CGTTTGATGCATGTGCATAAGCGTAGGTAAAAGGCATGTGTATCATCGCAGTCAACCATCACTCATACGATGAGGTATCATCAGGAAATCGTCAACCAAAATGAAAATCAGCGAATAACATTCATATAATCTGTGCAGATCTTTGCTTTGTTTACACCTGATCTATGGCCTCGGTTGATGAATGACTCGACAGCTGACTTTCGAGGCAGATAACTAAAATCATGAGCGCAAAGTCGTGTTGATACGCAACCAGATGATTTAAGTGCTTCATTATAGCTTTTTGGGTACGGCGATAAATGTACCGGAAATTATGGTGAATGATATCGACTGGAATGATTGGCAATTAATCGATGCAAAAGGATTTGCTGTTTTTCTCCTCAAGCAACGTCGGTCTTGACATTTGTTTCTAAGGCCTTGTGATTAACGCCCGACAAAATGTAATTGAATGATTATGTGCTAATCGTCAAATCTAAGCAATGAGTAATGGCGTAATGGAGGGCAGTTTGGCTTTGCATCTTAGAAGTGTTGAGTTAGAACATTAACGAGGCATTCATTTTTCGTCATCCTCAGCTTTCACTCTATAGTCGGATGAAAGCCGCTCCGAAATTTGCCGTAAACTTCGGTTTTCTACGATTCGCAATTCTTCCTGCAGGTCGTTCACTCTCTGTTGAAATCAATTTTACCGCCTCTCTAATCCAGTGATGGCCGGTTGTTGCTAGGCAATGTGATTTGCTCATTGATACACATTTCTCGAATTAATGCTAATGCTTGTTAGCAGCAAATTCATCGTCTTCTGCTCTGGTACAACCGGGAAGAAGGGCAGGAGCACCTTCGTAAGAGGTTGGTTTTGAACTACAGACATACCGGGTTCGAACATCACAAATTACCTTAACCAACAGATCATTTTAGCTACGAATTTACCCTATTTTGTATCGGTACAACAGGAGGAGAAACTAACAACTAACCGTTTACTCGCGAACACTAAGAACAGTATGGTGTTCTGCTGCAGTAGTACCAGAATCGGTGAGAACTTCCGTCTCATCTTAGGGCTGCGAGATAGCTGACTATTCAGTGTAATAATCAGCGCAAGATATAAACCAAACAAACCAGCAGAGAAACAGGACTTGCAAACAATAGGGCAGCATAGGTTCCTCTGCGAAACTTGGTCATGCATGCTAACGCGTGCGCCTTCGGCTACTCATTCGTTATATCCCTCAATAACTGACTAAAAAACATCTAAAACTGTAAAACCGATAAAAGAGTTTCCTGAAAGACTGAAAAATTTCATAACGATTACAGAGCGGACGTTGCTACACTCGGCGAAATTGAGACAAAGATTTGCGCTATTATTTTCTGCCATATATCCATACACTTTTCCATTGGTCTAAGTTCCAGCTAAATCGCATCACTTCTAGGAAATAGCACACTGAAAATTATACCTCAGTGGATACGGTATACGATGATGAGCTCTGTCGCAATTCACGAAACTGTAGGCAATGATGCAATGGTAATCGTACATTTGTGTCTTCTGTAAGGAACAAGCAGACTCATACTGCAAGCGTGCGTGCATAAAACGTCAGGAACAACTGTCTAGTTTATACAAAACAAGAGCTTTGCAAAAGTTTGATGTACTCTTTATGTTGAACGAATTATGAATAGTAGGAGTTGCACTGAATTTTCCTGCCCGATTCTCTGTCAGGAGGTCTGTGTCGATCGTTGTCGCAAATATTATTACAATCACAGTTTCATCTATATATAGAACTTCATTTTCTGCCAAAAACGCTGATAAGTCATATGTTTCTGTAACCAAACCTGTGAATCATAAGTGGAACATTCAGCTGGTTGTAACTAGTCTGCGTAAGTGACAATAGCTGTTATCGAGCAAACAATAGGAAAAATTTATCCACAACGCCGAAGTGATTTAGAAACTGACGGATGACATTTTTGAAAGACAACAATCTTTAAAAACCACAAACTGATGGTGCCTACTGACTTGTAACGGTGAGATATCAAAACACGTGGCCACTCAACCTCGAAACCTTTGCTAACCTAGAAGATGATCGTGGCTGCTCAGTCGGTAGAGGGTTGAACTCAGAACCGAGAGGTCCCGGCTTGTAGTATCAGTCGGGTGACTCGCTTTTCTTCGTTCAAAGGTTGATAAATGGGCACTTTGGAAAAGAAACTGCGGACTACACATTACGCTTGCCAGCTAGCTGCTGTCGACTGTGCCTTTAAAAAAAGCACTGATGGCTGCTTGCATAGAAACGATGATCAGCACAACACCATCAGCTTCATGAAAAGAAGGGCGCTGGAATGGCCCAATTATGAAAGTGTAAGGATTGATCGACATTCGAACGGCTACAAGCATTCCATTTTGCTTTCTTCCAGTTCATTCACTGAACAGTGCCAAAGACAACATACCCAAGGTACAGCCGCTGGCAAAGAAATGAAGGACTGTGTACAAAACT